AATGAAATTTTGAAATTGATTGTAGTAAAGATTAGCAAAACTGTCGTAACTTACTCTTTTCGAACCAACTCCGCAATTATCTAAATACTGCAAACACCACTGTACAATCCGTGACATCCAGAACATTGCTATTCTAAAATCGAGCATTAATCTCAAGTCTCCTTGGTTGTCAAACCTACTTTACATCTAAATACTCCGCTCTGGCAAGAAAGGCGGCCAGGTAAGCTGCTGCTCCTTGCGCTTTTGCTATGTCAACCTGAGCAACATGGGGTCGCACAATAACAGACCAAAGTAGGTCCAAGATTCGAGTAGCATATGTCTAAACAGTCAACGGCATTCCACAATGTTGAAATTTTGCTACTTCAATGTACGCATAACGAACCTCTTCAATACTGCAGAGATACAACCACAGGAAAGAAGTATACCGCACATGTACCGAAAGAAGCATGCGATCTTCCAGCAGCGACGAAAGGATACTGAACAGCTCTTGTGCGTTTGAGCCATCATTGAGATGCAGCCATTTCAAATCTCAAGTGGCAATTTTAGTTGTCTTTGAAGTACGCAGAAGAAGAACAAGAAAGGAAATTGCTCATGGCAACGTACCACCCAGCCCGGTTTCAATTCCATGTTGAGCTGCAATATAACAAAGCACATCTCGCATAGCTCCATCCAATTTCGCCAAACGCTCACTCTCTTCATTCTCACTCTCTAGTCCGTTTCGTTCCTCTTCGTCCTAACATAACAAAGTGATAAAAACATATTTGTGACGTATACAACTTACCATTTGGAAAATCGTTGCATCAGCAGTGATTTTTTTCTCTGCACGGCATTCCGCTTTCGATAACATGTTCTGTAATATTCGATTATATATTCAAATAATCCAAACACATGAGTATGAAGTTCTAAGCTTCAGCAATTAAAAGATAACTACTTCAAGACAGTTTTTAGATGGGATACACAAAAAAGAGGAACCCCTACAAAGAATGCTTCACTGCAACTCTCCCCTGCCCAAAATTTTTATGTATAATCAGACTTTGATGTACGGTGGTTGATCATACCAAAATTTGACTTTGTTGATTCATTCCCCCAAACAGCCATATAGTGCTTGATAAGTTGAAGTGAAAGTTGAAAAAAAAAAGAATTGTAAAAAA